TCCTTTTGTTCTCTCTCTCCTTTTGGATGGTGTGCTTTGTAAAAGAGACATTGAGTGGCAATCATATTCGGTCTATAGTCTACTTTCAGCATGCATCTCTCATCCTGGGAGGATCCTCCCAACACCCTTTACTTGATGTTCCCTTCTCTGAGCTACCCTTTCCCCTAGCATGTGCGGCTGGCCTTCAAGCCATGGAATGAACCTCCTGAGTATTTTTTTGTGACTGACCTGCCTTCCTCCCTTCCCTCCTCTGCTTGCCAGGACTCTGGGCTTCCTCTTTTCCTCCACTGCCCTCTAGTGGCTGAGAGCCTTCAGAGTCCGCTCTAGCTCCTGGACAACGTGATACGTCCAGAATACAGAAGAACCTCCTACTCAGTTTGGTGGGCTTGCAGGGTTCCAGATGGTGGGCACAGGCTGGGAGAGAATTGATTCAGAGGAAGACTCGGAGCTCTCAGAACCAGACAACATGAGTCTTAGCTCTACACTTAGACCACTGCGGGTCCTGGGGTCAGCGACTCCATCTCCCAGACACACCCTCTCCCTAAGCGGCCACACCACAGTCAGATTACCCACGGGCTCTAGGCCATGCAGAGCCAGATGCAGCAACGCCTCTTCTTGCTTTCTCGGGACTTTGAAGATCTCCCCCGTTTGGGGACCTAGAGCAGCTGAAGGAGAAGCAGCCACAAATGACCACCAGAGAGCGCACTGGGCCAAAGCCTCTGGTTAGCTAGGTTCGTATTCTTCACGTTTGGAAAGACATCCCAATATTTCTTCTCGTTTTCATAATGCCGTCCACAAAAGGTAAAGACTCTTATTCTCTTTTTGTGGGGGATGCGCACTCGAGGATACTTAGGGGATATTCCTGGATGTATCCTCAGGAATCATTCCCCGTGGTGCTCAGGGGACCATATGGGAGGCCAGGGATTGAACCCAGGTCGACCACGTGCAAGGCAAACACCCTCCCTGCTGTATTATCGTTTCAGCCCTTGAAAACTGTTGCTCTACTGGAAGTCATTTGACATCGTAAAGGATGCTGATGGCTGATTTGTGGGGTGCTAGTCAGCTCTGACTCCCAAAGGAAATATCATCTCACAGCTGGGGTGAGGGCGCAACCAGAGGATCTTCGAGGATGGTCCGGGGCTAAGTAGGAGCTCTGATGCTCTCTGGGTTTCTCTGGTTCCTGGTCTCCTGGGGTGTCAAAGTTGGGGGGTTATTGAGAGGTGTGAGGAGATCAGGACCCAGCAGCTCAGCTGAAATAGGTGTCAGTCCCTCTGACATCTTAGGGAGCCTCCACAGAGGGCCACCTTTTATGTCTGCCCTCTGCAGGGTGGGGACACCCAGAGCACAGAAGGCTTTTGCCTTCATGTCAGCCCAAACTCTGCCTTTGCAGGGAGGTCCTTGCAATATCAACCCCACCTCACCCCTAGATGCTCAGGCCTTGAGTAGGACCTGCCACCTCCCCTTCATGGTGAGGGGAGAGAGGAGAGAGCAGCTGGCTTCTCAGGCAGGTGCAGGCTCATCGGGTCAGACATCTGCAAGCTTCTCCCTGGCTCTGCACCAGCGTTTCTCCCATTTTCTGGCTGTGGCTCCCTTCTGACTTCACTTCCTGTTGGCCCCCAGTCCTACCCACTTACCTGATTTTCTCTTGTGGCTCTGCTTGGAATGCCCTGGAGGGGTGGGGGGCTACTCTCTCATATGGCGTCCAGCTTAGAGACACTGCTTTAGAACACCATGGCCTGGGCTGTCCTTCATTGCCTCCTTCCCCAGCCTGGCATAATTTCTTTCTGCTCTCCTAAAGGGGTGACTTCTAACAATCCATGCACTACTTGTGATCCCGGTCCCTGTCCTCTGTGGCCATTCACTCCACCCACTCCCCTGGCTCACAGGTGAGAGAGTGAGGTCCGGAGAGAGGAGGATGTGAGAAATTCCCAAGGATGCTCTTTGATCATTGCTCTGGGCCTGAGTCCCTTAATCCTGACCGCAGCCCTGAGTTCGGCACTATGATCCTCTTCCTCCTCATGAGATGAAATACTCGTGTGTCTTCCCACAAATAAAGAAAATGTGCCTAGAAAAAAACATGATCCTCAGATCCAGAGACTAAGTCTGCCCAGAGGGAAAGCCAGCGTCCCTTCTGGGGTCTGAGAGACAGAGAAACCTGAGCACATAAGATCTATGTGCTGCGGCATCAAGCTGACCCCACGCTAAGCCTCCCCGCACTTCAACATTCTTTCCTCCTTCTCTGTCTTGTTCCAGATTCCAAGAGCTCACAACCCTGCACAGTCCCTTCTTTAAGCTCAGTGGCCCTGAGAACACGACCTGAGGCTCACCCACCCCCCCAGAGAGCCCAGGACAAGAGGCTAGCTCCTCCCCGCAGTATCTACTCTTCAGTTTTCTTGACAAGAAAAATAGCAGGATTCCAACTAGTTACACAAGACCAGGAAGACAAGAAAAATACACTGCAAAGAAATTGATATTCTACAAACATGCCCCAGTGGAGCGTGAATCCTGAGAAAGGGGCTCAGATGGGGGGAAGCCGTCACCCTGAACTAATGCTCTGGGTATAGTATCCTAAGAATCCCAACGGTGACCCAGGCGTCAGAAACAAAACAAAGCAAAGCAAAGCAAAGCAAAGCAAAACAAGAATCCAGAAGGCCTGAGATGGGCCCAGCACATCGTAAAATATGCAAAGGACCCTGCACATCCCCTACCCCGACTGACCCGTTGGGTGGAGAACATTGGAATAAAAGGTGCCTGAATCAGAGTTCACTGCAGATTATTTGTGGGGTCCAGAACCTCCCATTTGTGTCACTTCAAGGGGACAGAGTGAAGGATGAGGTCAAAGAGACACTCCTGGGGAGCCGGCAGAGCCAGAGGCATCACAGGGCATTTACTCAGAGGAGCCCGGAAAGCTTTTTAATTTATTTAATTTATTTATTTTTATTGAATAACCTTGAGATACACTTACAAAACTTTAATGTTTGAGTTTCAGTCATACAATGACTGAACACCCATCCTTCCACCAGTGCACAATTTCCACCACCAATGGCCCCAGTATCCCCCCAATCCCACCCCTCCCCTGCCTCTGTGGCAGACAATTCCCCCCGCCCCCCCCCCCACACCACACCACACTCTCTACTTTTGCCAAGGAAGTTCTGAGCAAATCAGTGGCAGGGTGTAACTTAGGTCTTAAAATGATCCTTCGGTATCACTAAGAAAATGATGGCTGAAGGAATCGGTCAGGATGGGAGATGTGTACAGAAAGTAGATAAAGGACCAAACATGATAACCTCTCAGTGTCTGTATTGCAAACCATAATGCCCCAAAATAGAGAGAGATTATGGGGAATAATGTCTGCCATGGAGGCAGAGGGAGGGTGGGAAAGGGAGGGAGCATACCGGGGATATTGGTGGTGGGGAATGTACACTGGTGGAGGGATGTGTGTTTGATCATTGTGTGATTGTAACCCAAACATGAAAGCTTGTAACTATCTCACGGTGATTTAATATAATTTTTTTAAGAAGTGAAAAATAGTAAATAAAATGATCCTTCTGGAACCTGAGCTACAGTCCAGTGGACAGGGTGTTTGCCTTGCACATGACCTACCTGGGTTTGATCCTTGTTACTCCATATGGTTCTCTAGGCTGCCAGGAGTTATTCCTGAGTGCAGAGCCAGGAGTCAGACCTGATAATTGCCAGGTGTGACCTCTACTCCCCCCCCCCCACAAATAAATGATCCTGAAGACTGCTAGGCGGAAGAGATTGGAAGGGACCAGAGAAGAAAGCAGGTAGGAGGCTCTGCAATAATTCAGGCCCAGATGATGGCGGCTAAGGACCTGTAAATGGCGTTCAGAGTTTAGAAGTGTGGGATTATGCTGGCATATGGGCTAAAGGAGATGAAGAAAGAGGCACTGGAGTGGCTCTGGGGGGTGCAGTGAGAGCTACTTGGATGATTGTGGTGCCTTTTCTCGACAAGGTTAGGACAGGGGGAGCAGAGCTGACCCTGGGTTCCCCCAGCAAGGTAAACCTGACACTGTCCTCAAACCTCTCTGTCCTCACTAAATCAGACCCAAAGCCAGCCAGTGAGTGCGTGAATCCTCTCCTATTCTGTTAAGAGGGTGGGAAGCCCTAAGGAAGTAATAGTTGTGTTTTTAGAGCAAGTTCTTTTACAGCTCCTCAGTGTTCAGAACCATGAATGGCTAAATTCCCATAGATACCCCTGTTCACTCAAGGCAGATCTGGTTCGGGCCAGTTCGGTACCCATACCTCCTTACTTGTCATCAGTAATAAAGCTTTCCTCTCGATGACTCCTTGCGTCCACTTTTCTGACTCACTCCCTTCTGCTCAGGGACACTTTTGTATCATTTAACACACCCACATGACGACTGCCATGTAGTAAACGTGTGTGTGGGGGGGTGTGCCCTGGACACATAAGGATGAACGGGATGGATACCTTGTCCTGAAGAAACTTGCAGTGCGGCAGAGGAGTGTGAAAGAGCTTTCCTCACATGGTCAACTACTCAGTGGCCCCACAAGCAGTCATTAGCACTCATCTCCTGGCCAGAAGGCATTGAGGCAGCATTGAGGAAGATCTTCTCCCCCCAAAAAGAGAGTCAAGTCCAATCAGAGGTTTGGGATTAGCTATCTTCACTCACCCATTCACTGAAGAGTCACCAACATCCAGCCTGAGCAGAGTTTGGGAGACGACACATCCCGGATGACCCAACAGTGGACTCCACTGGGCGTTTCTAAGCAACAAAGCCTCCCTCTGGAGCTTGGGCCTCTCCTCCAGGGTTCCACCCGTGGCCCTCACCATGTGAGCACGCCCCAGTGGCAGCCGCCCCAGCCCATCAGGATAGCACCCCACAGAAGGCTGGGGTCCACTTTTGGTGTCATCTTCCCATAGGAAACCATGGGCCCAACCATCCAGACAGCCCCCCGAGCTACCATCTGCCTGGCCACCATCTGACCCTTTTTGACACCCACAGGTCCCAGAACTCAAGATGCATCTACTCTGGAGGCTTCTGGTTCTCATCCATGTGCTGTTCTTGCTCTCAGCACTGTACAGGCAGCCCTTGGCTGGTCTGACAGACATCCAGATAGACAGCAGTTCCGCCCTGGTGAGAAGTAAGCAGCGTCTGTACCTGGCTCGCTGATGCGGCGGGGGGTGCGGCAGAGGGAACCCGGGGATCACACTAGGGCCTTGTGGGGAGGGGTCTGGCCAGTCTCTTCTTCCTCTTTGCTTGGATCTTAAGGCAGTTGAGTTGATGCTAGAGCAGTTCATAGAACATCCTCACTCTTATGAATCACAGAGCAGAACTTCCTTTTAGACTTTTCCACTTTATCTGCAAATAGTGTTAGTTTTTGCTCTTTATTTCTAAACCTTATTCTTCTTGTGTCTTTCACTATCTTTCAGTTTAGCTAAAACCTATCACCGGAATAGGAAAGGTATCTAGAATTATCCAAAAATTCTGATGTCTTCTGTAGTCTTTTTATGATGCCAAGTCTTTTATTATGCATAAGACCTATACTGTCTTTATTATGCTGAGGGTTTTTATTATGCTAAGGATTCTTTAGTTTTTATTATGTGAGGATTCCCTCTTATGTTCCTAGTTTAATAGATTTTTTAATTTTCTTTTTTTATTATTTTTAAAAATTTTTTTAAATTTAAAAAATTTTTTTAAATTTTTAATTTTTAAAAAAATTTTAATGTAGGAGTATTGCTATTTATTCAGCCATTGATTAGGCTGATTGAATTAAGCATGAACTCCACCTTACTTTTTTTTCTTTTTATAAATTTATTTATTGAATCACCATGAGAGCAGTTACAAAGCTTTCGGGTCTAAGTCTCAGTAAAACAATGATGAAGCACCCATCCCTTCACCAGTGCCCATTTTCCACCACCAAAACCCCCAGTATACCCTCCCATCCCACGCCCTTTCCTACCTGTGGAGAAGATGACTTCCACATTACTCTCTCTCTCTCTACTTTGATTACATTCAGTACTTTGACTCCATACCCACCATTATTATTTGGGATTTTGCCCCAACACTCAGATCGGCCAAAAAGGCAACCGTGAACAATTTGTTTTCTATTGTTGGTTATGAATAACATATGATGTTGTGCAGCCGCAGTAGTGGCCGTGCGATTTTGGAATTCCAAAATTTTAACAATTAAATCTGGAGGGATTTCTGCCAAAACCTGCTGGGTTCCAAGATTTGTTCTTGACTCTCTAGGATCATGGCTGTTAAGTAGATTGATCAGGAACCAGAGAGGCCGTTCATGGGCGGCAATTCAGGGTCCTGTTGGGGCTTGGAGGAAAGGGCCAGCTCCACCCCCATCCCGTGAGGCCCCATGTGTCTCGTCACTGTGGGCCCAAACCTGACTATCCAGTGGCCTCTGGAGGATGGCGGCCATCAAGCTGCCAAGAGGGAGCAGGCAGAGGGACAGCACCCTTTCCCCCCTGGGGTCAGTAACCTACTACGGAGACCAGATGCATTTTTGCCAAAAGCCGCGGGGTTCCAAGATTTGTTTCTGAGTCTCTGGGATCATGGTGGTTAAGCAGTTTGATCAGGAACCAGAGAGGCTATGCCTCCAATTATATAGCTGAGCCGGAGGTGGTTCGTGGGTGTGTCTCCCACATACCTAACTTTTGGCTGTTTACTTTCTTGGTAAACTTAGCCCCAAGTTTTTGGGGTCTGGCCAAAACACAGTAGCAATTTGGGGGTACCTAGAAGTCTGAAGGCACCATCAGGCTGCTGATGCACTCATTTCACAGGTACAGATTGACCTGCTGGCCGCACCATACCCTATAAAAAGTTTTTCTCAAATCATCATTCAGAATTGGCCTTTAAGAATATTTTTCTATATCTAATATTTTTCTAAATCTAAAAATAAATCTATGGAAATGATAACTTATATTAAGATTTTCTAATGTTGAACACCTAGCATGCCTGGAAAGATACGGTATTTTTTTGTAATAATGTCATTGATAATGTACTTTTTATCAAAAAAAGATATCATTTTTATCATGTCTTATAATGCATTTGTAATATGTAACACCAAAATATACTCTTATACTATTATATGAGTGATATCACAGCAGTAGCGTGTTTGCCTTGCACGCAGCCAGCCCGGCCAAGCCGGGTTCGATTCCTCTGCCCCTCTCGGAGAGCCTGACAAGCTACCGAGAGTATCTCGCCTGCACAGCAAAGCCTGGCAAGCTACCCGAGACATATTCAATATGCTAAACACAGTAACAACAAGTCTCAAAAAAATGGAGATGTTACTGGGCCCACTCGAGCCAATCAATGAACAATGGGAGGACAGTGACAATGACAGTGACTATTATGTGTTGGGGGCTCTTGGGAAGAGACCCACTGGGGTGATCTTCAATTTCCTTATGCTGCAGTCAGAAATATTTTGGGAAAGGGGAGTTGTGGGGTGGTGGTGGAGGGAAGATCTAGCACATCAGCCTTCCCTGGCATTCCAGAACCATTTCTGATTTTTGTTTTGCTTTGTTTTTGTATCACATCCGGCAGTGATCAGAGTTAACTCCTGGCTCTGCGCTCCGGGATCTCTCCTGGCAGGCTCAGAGGACCATATGGGGTGTTGGGGATTCAACTTGGCTTAGTCACATGCAAGGAAAGCACCCTACCTGCTGTACTATCACTCCACTAGCACACCTCTGAAGATTGTTTTTTCTTTTTTGAACCTTAAGAACCTTGACAGTACCTGGGGTTGTCTGTGGGGAGGCTAATGGGGATTGGGTAGGAGCAGGGGGAGTGACATAGGTGAGCTAAATGAGTTCTTTTCTTCAAGAATAAGAGTTCTAACTCTTGGGGCTGGAGCGATAGCACAGCACGTAGGGAGTTTGCCTTGCACGAGGCCGACCTGGGTTTGATTCCCAGCATCCCATATGGTCCCCTGAGCATCATCAGGAGTAATTCTTGAGTGCAGAGCCAGGAGTAACCCCTGTGCATCGCCGTGTGACCCCCCCCCACCAAAAAAGTTCTAACTCTGCCTCCCCACTCCAATCCATACATACAAGTCTCTACCCCCAATCTCTCAAAATGTAACTATGTGGGAGCAGGGTCTTTACATGAGGACTTGGGGTGGACCCTAGTCCCCTAGGCCTGGTAAAATTTGGACACCAAGAGACAAGGGATCTTTGCACATATGACACCATACACATGTGCATGGGATGGAGTGATAACACAGCAGGTAGGGCGTTTGCCTTGCACCTGGCCAACCCGGGTTCAATTCCTCCATCCCTCTCGGTGAGCCGGGCAAACTACCGAGAGTATCCCGCCCACATGGCAGAGCCTGGAAAGCTCCCCCATGGAATATTCCATATGCCAAAAACAGTAACAACAAGTCTCACATTGGAGACATTACTGGTGCCTGCTCGAGCAAATCTATGAACAACAGGAGGACAGTGCTTCAGTGCTACTATCATACGATTAGTTATTATATTTGTTAGCTAATAGTTAATTTTTCATACTTAAAATTGATTTATAACTTTCTTTGTATCATTCTTGAACCTAGGCCAATTTTACTAGCCTCATAAAATAAATTTGGCATCTGTTGTTTTTTTTTTTCAATTTTCTTCACAATTGACTCATAAACGTTTGATAGTTTCTTCCATAACAATCTTTTAGATTTTTAGTTTTTGGTAATGATATCTGCAGTTAGAATTGCCATTTAATAATGAAAACCATATGGTTTTCTGGGAATCGAACCTGGATCAGTCAGGTACAATGCAAGTGCCCTAACCACTGTACTCTCCCTCCAGCCCCCCAATTTTTAAAAAAAGTTTTATTGAATCACCGTGAGATAGTTACAAGTTTTCATGTTGGTGTTACAATCACACAATGATCAACACCCATCTCTCCACCAGTGCACATTCCCCACCACCAATATCCCCGGTATATCCTCCCTTTCCCACACTCCCTCTGCCTCCAGGGCAGACATGATTCCCCATAATCTCTCTCTACTTTTGGCATTATGGTTTGCAAAACAGGTCCTGAGAGGTTATCATGTTTGGTTCTTTATCTACTTTTTGCACACATGTCCCATCCCGACCGATTCATCCAGCCATCTTTTTCTTAATGATCCCTTCTCTATTCCAGCTGCCTTCTCCCCTTTGCTCATGAGGCAGGAATCCAGCTATGGAGCAATCTCTCTGTCCTGTGTATCTACTGTCCTTAGGTGTCAGCCTCACCCGCCTGGCAAGCTACAATATGACAAACAGTAACAACAAGTCTCATAGTGGAGATGTCACTGAGCCTGCTCGAGCAAATAAATGAACAACAGGAGGACAGTGCTATAGTCTGCCCTACCAGACAAAAAAAACTGGCTTGGGGCCTGGAGCGATAGCACAGCAGGTAGGGTAACCCCTAAACATCGCCAGCTGTGACCCAAAAAGCAAAATAAAATAAAATAATCACCGTCACTGTCCTCCCATTGTTCATCAATTTTCGAGTGGGCCCAGTAACGTCTCCATCCTGAGACTTTGTTGTTACTGTGTTTGGCATATTGAATACATCACAGGTAGCTTGCCAGCTTTGCTGTGCGGGCAAGATACTCTCGGTAGCTTGCCAGGCTCTCCTAGATGGGCAGAGGAATTGAACTAGGGTCAGCCATGTTGGCTGTGTGCAAGGCAAACGCACTACATGCTGTGCTATTGCTCCAGGCCAAATAAAATAATAAAAAGAAAAACTGGTTTGTGTCTGTAGAGCCAGCACAGACCTTAAAGTCCATTAGAAGATGAAAACTGAAGGAATGCCCCCAATATTTCTCATCGGTCAGTTCTTACATAGATAACTGATGACTGACCCTGTGATGGAGGAGAGATCCGTTACTTGGGGAGCTGACAAACCCAGGGTTTGAACACAGATCCTGACCCCAGAAAGTCTTGTTTGTTGTTCTAATAAATCTTAGGGGACTAAGGAGTTTTGTGTGGGCCGGCACTGGAGTAACAGAGTGAAAGCTGCTGTTTCTGCTGTTCTTCAGCCATCCACAGATCTCAGCACATGATTCAATCAAAAATCGGGATAAAGTCAGTAAAATCAATGTACCCTGTAGTGAGATCTGAGGTGCATCAGAGCTGTTAGGCTCCTATGATGGCTGGAGAGTGAGTCTAGAAGCAGAGAGGCAGGATTTGAGTATGATCATCATTGCTAAAATTCCCTCCCTGTTTTGAAACCCATTCAGTTCTGCTGTGGTTCACTCTGGATATGGTGTGAGAGAATTTACATTTATTCCTTCCCTACCTACTCCCCTATTTTTCTTTCAGCCAACATTTATTTTGTGATTTGCGTTCCCTCTGTCAGGCTTCTGGGCTCCATTTGCATGAAATAAAGCCCTTTTGAAGGAGACCTCCTTTGAATGCCTACTGACCACCAGCCTCTCTGCTTCCATGTCTTCTCCATCCTGAAAAACAGGATGAAGACTGTGAGCGGGGGGAGAGGGAGGGTGACAGATCCAATCACTTAGCTGGAAGTTGGGTGAGAGTGCCAGCCTGAAACCTACACCTCCCGACTCCACATCCCATTCCCATGATGCTGTACACTTCCTTGTCCACTTCCAGTTCTTGTCCAGGGTCTCATAACGCACAATGCAGAGCGCCGGATCCAGAACCTCCGCCTCCTGGACAGTGTGAATGCCTCTGGGCAGATGGCTCCTGGGATGGTGAGCTGGCTGATTGGCAGCATAGGCCTCCAGAAGCAGCAAGAAAGCAGGTGAGGTCTGAAACCACCCTGGGCTTCTCCTCCCTGGGCCCCTTTATAAATCCCTGGTTAGAGGGCAGCGTGGAAAGGATGGAGGTGCTAGTGCTGCAAAGAGAGCAAGGAGGGAATAAAGGAAGAAGAGTGAGGCCCAATATAAGCACGAGTAAGAGGAACCCCAAGAAAGGAATTTTTAGAGTAGGTGGTAGAAGTATCTGTATTTACATTTTACTCTGCTACCAACCTTAGGGGGAATTGCTGGACCCGTCCAACTACATCTGTGATATAGGGACTTGGAACACAGTCCAGATAAATATCTAGAGTACCAAAACAACCTGAGAAATCAGCCACGGCACAAACCCCCGCTCTGATGCTTGATGGCTGTGTGAGTCTGGGCAGGGTATTTGAGTTCTCTGAGTGTCAGCTTGAGTCCTCAGCAGGGAAGGGGACATAATAATTGTCTCTGCCTCCAGAACTTGGTAGGGGCTTCCTCCATTGCACAGTGCTGATGCAGGATCCCTGGATGGCTCTGCTCAGCCTCCCAAAGCTGTGTGCTCACCTCCACTGCCACTCCTCCTCTGGAGATTGCAGGTGCCTCAGCTTCCCAGTCCCGAGCTGCTGACTACCACCTCCCTCCTGTGTCTGGCTCCCAGATCTCTCCTCTCAGTCCACATTCATCATGCTCTCCATTTGAACCAGCACTTACTCACCCTCAGGGATTCCCTGATGTGTGAGGCTATCCTCACCTGCCTCCCAGTGATTGTCTCCTGTGTGCCAACACCTGGGGAAGGCCATACCCCATAAGTCCTCTCCTATTTGGATCTTAAGTTGGAATAACTGAGTTTAGCCATGGAAGTAAAGAACTCTCCAGATTGGAGGGAGATGTTATGAAGACAAATTTTGCAACATGAAGGTGAGCATGAGAGACCAGGTCAGGAGGTAATCCTAAAGAGGTAGCCTTCCAGAGAAATGTGAATGATGAGATGAAATAAGAAAGGAAGAATGAATGGGAAAAGGCTGTAGTGAGTGCAAAGGCCCTGAGGTACGGGAGAGATTGTTGCATCAGGGCAGAAGGGAAGAGCATTCCGTGGACAGGAGAGAAAGTCATAGTTTGGTAGCAGATAGAGCTCTGGGGGTGAGTAGAGTCAGCTCCAAGAATTTCAGGGACCAGGTGTGGCTTCTGATTTTATTCCCAGAATAGGAGAAAGCAAGGGAGACCACTGAGCAACAAGGAAAGGTTAGGTCTCTCTCATTTGCAACAAGAAGTACAGTCTAAAGCGTGGTCAGGAACATGCCAAAGAGCCTGGAAAGCCCATAGAGCATTTCCAGATAGGAAGTGGGGACCTTTTCTCCCAGGAGGGAGCATAACATGACGCTCACCATAGCCATGCCGCCAGACTCTGCGTCAGGCTGTTTCACTGGGGGCACCCCAGAGGGGACAGGTGAGATACCCTAGAGGGGGGTGGGTGAGATCCCTCTCCGCTCCAAGGGACCCCGCCTCAGCAGCCGAGAACCCCAGAACTCAACTGCCACCATGCTCATAGCCGCTCTCCACATGCTTGGGCCGAGCCTCACCCATGAGTGAACCTTTTCCTGAACCACACAGCCATATTTGCAGCCACACAACACTTCATAGAACACACCCTACCCATTCTCCAAGAGTACTGCATCACATTTGATGGTATTCAAAGTAGGAGAGAATCAACCTTAGAGGAAAATATATTATTTCGGTTCTGCTTTGCAGCAGGGATTGGAGTTCAGGATGGAAACACCCAAAATATGGTGGTGGGAATGTGCAATGGTGGTGGGATTGGTGCTTGAAAATTAAATGTAATCAAACATTGTGAACTACTTTATAAAATAAAAAAATTAAGAAAAAGAAATGGGAACCATCTGGACCAGTGTAGTGACAGGAGGTTGGAGGGGCCAAACTCAGGCTATCTTCTCTGAGAAGAGCCAAACTGCTTTGCTCATGAGTTGATTTTGAGGGGCGGTGAGGAGTGAAATAAGTAAAAGATTTTAAAAACTGTTCCTGGGGTTTGAATTTAGGTTCCTGGAAAGATGGTAGTACATCTGAGAGAGAGTCTTGCCTGAGAATAGGGCCAGGGTCTAGTCTGCAGTTAACTGGATTATGCAAATAAGTTGTGGGAAACTTTAGGGGTATCCTGGGACAGTCTGTGGCCTGGAGTGCAGTTGGTTCTTGAACTCAGCGCATCTCTAAAAATCACCTCATCTGCCCATTGTATGAATGGTCTAATCTTGCTGGTAAGCCCTCAACCTTGACTTCTGAGGTCTCTGACCTGGCAAGTCCTCTGATCTTCCCTGCAGCATCAACATCACCAACATTCATCTGAACTATGAAGAGATCTGGATGGCTTTCCATGAAGACTGGTTCTCAGCAAATATTTCCCATGAATTTGACATTGACTTGAAACCGTGAGTTGTACGGGAGGTGGGGTCTGAGTCATTTCACCATCATGAGCCCCGGAAACTGGCGAATGACCCATTTAAACCTGTCAGTTCACTCTTGGGCCTGATTTTAAAAGAGAAAGCCACTGTATCTAAACATCCTTACTTTCTCTTTTTTTAACACCCACTGTCCCAAAGCAAGGAAGGTCACAGGTAAATGATAAAAAACAAATTTAAAATAGAGCTGCACTCTCTCAACTCTGAGATTTCCAAAGGCCCTGAATGTGGTCTAATAAGTACCGACTCTGGACAATGGAAATTTTCGATATCGTCATTAACGATAGAACTTGACATGCACACAATGTGGCCCCATGGGTTGATTGTTGGAAGCCTGGAGTGTGGGCAGTGCCCATCCACATACAGAGCCATTCTTCCTCTTGGCTGCCTCCATCTCCCTCGACTCTTTTGTGCCTCTTCCCTCTCCCTCCCCACTTGTTGTCTCCAGGTCTTTCAAAAGCAGGACCATAACGATGCACACAAGCCTAAACCTCATTGTGGAGTTTTGGCTGGAGAAAGATGAGTTCGGCCGCAGGGAACTGGTGATAGGCAATTGCCACGTGGAGCCCAGAAGTGTCAACATTACATTCTACAACGAGTAAGGTCCCAGCTCCGCTCCCTCTGCCCAGAGCCTCCTTTCTGAAATCTGTCTTCCCCAATGACCCCCTCATAGTCTTCTTCTCTCCCTCCCTCGCCCTCCCCATGACCGCTATCCCCTCAACAACTTCCTGGGAGCTGCCTCTGACCTTCCTTGACTGAGGCCTCACCTTCTTCATTTCATTCTTCCCCACCTCTCCTGCAGCATAGATACCTTCCTAGCCCAGAAATCTAGTCATACCCTCGATCCCTGCTTCAAACCCTCAGGGTTTTTTTTGTCTTGTCCCATGCCCAATTCTGTAGCTCTTTGGTCTTTGAGCTCCAGGAGGGAGTCATCTCTCCAGTAGCCCCCACATAACTTCATCCCAACATGCCTTTGCACATAGCCAATATTTAGCCCGTAGTGCCTTCCCTTGTCCTCTATCAATACTATTCACTAATTGTTCATTCCTGTTGTACTGGAAACCTATAGCTTGATGCTAGACATAGAGGAGTGAAAAAGACAGGAAAAATAGGGTGATGTGGTGATCTATATTCTGACTCACCAGGTCTGTTGACTCCAACAGACTGGGAATCTTTTGAAGGCAAGATTTGTACCAGATTTCTCCATAACTGCGGTATGACAAAAGCAATGAAATCCTCCACTGTTTTACTCAATGTTTAGTCCATTTATTTATTCACCAGACTTTTGCTGAGTGCCCAGACCATGCTAGATATTTATGGAGAGGACAGAGCAGGAAAAGACTGAAACTGAGCACTCACTCACCTGGTTAATTGAGGCAGAACTAACTACCTATACCACGTGGTGCCTCTTGATGTGACTCATTGGACTCTAATTCCAGTCTGGGTGTAAAGTGACCAGGTCGTGTAGACTCAGCATGAAGCCCTTGCCATCACTCTGGCCTGTTATGTATCTATTCTGTCTCTCTGTTTCTCTTTCTAGTAATTGCACACCAAAGATGCTTCTTTTCCTCCGCAATCTCAGAAATAATCTGGAAAATGTAATCCCACACCTGGTAGGAAGTCAGGTAAGTTAGAGAAAAATAGTTTATTTGGACATATTGAGTTTGGAGACCAGGGTATAAAAAGATTTAGATCTAGAATATAGAAAGAGATACAGGTGGATGTGGGTACGGATATAGATTCTATGGACATGGATATATAAAGAGAAGGCTATAGATAGGTATAGATATAGATACATCTGATCAATCCAGTAAAAATGTCAAGCCTGAGTCTTTAGAACCTGATACATGCCAACTGAAAATTAAGTTTCAGCACCGGGGCAGGAATACAGTGTTTTCCTTGCATGTGACTGACCTGGTTTGTATCCCCATCACCCCATATGGTTCCCTGAGCATGGGATCAGGAGGGATCTCTGAGCACAGAGTCAGGAGAAAGTTCTGAGAACCACTGGGTGTGACCCAAAAGCCAACCTCCACTCCACCCCCAAAAAGGTTTCAGTGTTTCCCTCTCCTGGCTGTGTCCTGGTCTCAGCCTTCCTGAGCCTGGCTTTCCCCAGATGTTTCCCTGCCCCTGACTATTAGATTGTCCCGAGGCTTCAGGGAGATAAGCACGACAGTGCTGTGCATGACTCTGGTTGCTGCCCTGGTGCTTAATTTGAGGGAGTCATTTTCACACACTTCTGGAAATCTGGTGATATCTAATATTCCAGATACAGCCTTTCAGTTTCCTTTCTCTGGTCTCTGCTCTGACCCTTTGCTCTATGTTGGTGGCCCAGATGTGCCCTCTGGTTGAAGATATCCTCAGGCAGCTGGACGTGAAGCTCTTGAAAAGCCTCATGGGTGAGTGTTTGTGTTTTCTCAGGAAGAGACCCGAGGTAGGCAGGTGATCTGGCAGTGATACCCCCTCTGGAGTCTTGGAATGAAGCTCCAATGAAGCTCCAGGAAGGGTGAGGGTGCTGACAGCAATGCCCTGAGAACACAGAGAGGTGACCATAACTGGTAGCCATTACCCTCCCCTCAAAGAGCCAATACCAAGAAGATTATGCCTCCCGAACCCCCAACCCTCCAGGTTACCATAGATTGTAACTCTCCACCCCCAATTCTTCAGGTAGCACCACCCCTGCTTTTCCCCACCCTCACAGAGTGGGCAGAAGACAGATGCATGTAATTAGATACTCTCTTAACGTGAGTGCTTCTGGCACCAGCCCAGGGTTGACACGGATGATAGCGGGTCCTTTCAGTGTGGACGTGGGGTGTGAAGGGGCAGGCATGCTGGTGCCAATATTTTCTCTTCTACAGAACAGGCCCTGGCTCAAGAACTCAGCAAACTGTGAGACTCACACTGGCCACAAGCACCAGACCAGAATGTCCTCCAGCCATTTACTGATGATCGGAAGGAAACGGTCTATGTCTGGGGGCCTTAGTGTCCCCTGGGTAGCGCTTCTGTTGCCCCATAAACTATATCTACAGGCCCCGTGAAATTCAGTTATCTCGTAGTATATAATGGCTTTTGAGGGTACAGAAGAACCCCCGTTCCTGACCCTGAGGTCTGGGTTCCCAAGATTGGACCCACTGAAGGTCCATCATGAGACCAAATAGACTTGGATCTGATCATCAGTCCAGAAGTACCAGAGAAAACCTCCTCTTCCTGTATCTTAGAGCCAGAAGCTACCTGAGGTTTGGCTCATTCATGCCAGGAGGGCCCTATGGAAATTTCCCATCTCCTTCATTCAGCTCATATTAACTGAGAACCAACTCCATGTCAAACATGGAGGTGGTTCTCCTGGGGAGTGTCAATACCGAGTGGCAAAGAGGATGTGCATTCATGGTGGTGGTAGAACTGAGTCCAAGTTCAACTCAGTCCCTAAGATGTGGAGGTCAGAATGGTGACAACTGACCCCCAGCCCCTCACCCCCAGCATAGGGATCAGTGTGAGTGGGTGGACCTAATAGGGATGAGTCACTTGGCCCTTAGTCTTCCTCCTCTGTAAGAAGGAATCAGAGACCATGCAGGATGTGAATAACAAGAACCAGCACCTTGATCCTGGGGGAAGATTGTGCCACAGTGACCTGAACCTGGAAGGCTCTAAAGCAGGGCTGAGACCACTCTAGGAGCCAGCCTTCCCTCCACTAGTATGTGGAGGGACACGCAGCACCACAAGATCTGGAAAGGATTTCTAGGGAAGCAATGCTAGTAAGAACCCCCAAAAGAAAACTCCTTAATGCCTAATGAAAGAATGGTTATATTTTTTGAGTGAATATTTTCCAAGAATCACGCATTAGCAGTAAGTATGATCTACAGACATAAAGGATCTAAAATGGACACACACACAGAGCATCTCTTATTTATAGAAAGCTCAAAACCAACCTATTCAAGGACAATTTAGTGGCTACCACTGGGGAATGGTTAGTAACTGGAAGTGCCCCAGCAGACCCAAGGGCACTGGTCACGGTGTTTCTTAATCTGGGTGCTGGTCACCAGGAAAACGTTGAGTTTGTGAAAATTCCTGCAGCTAATGCTTCTGTGCATTTTTCTTCTGTGTACAAAATGCTCAAATCAAATATTCATATTCAAAATGGTGTTTGTTGAGCACATGTGAAAAACCCTATGTTCACTGGGGCCTAGCAGAACAAACCATCTCTTCCATTGCTATTTGTTTGGACTGGGCAACTCTTCAGTACAGGTTTCCATACTCCTAAATCATCCTGAAAAGTTAGGCAGCAAGCACACAAACACTAAGGGTCTTGGTTGGGCAGACACAGGTGTCACATTTGGCATGGGATGGGCTTGGGCTCCCAGCTTACATGCGGCCTCTTGTCAACCCCCACGAAACTATGGAGCACAAAACTGCACCCCTATTATAGGATTAATAGCCTGAGGCTCAGCGAGACAGAATCACTTCAGTGAGGAAATGCTAGAGTCAACAGCAGTCAGGCTGCCCACCTGCAGACCCCACAACTGTGAGTTCTGGATCTCTCTCTTTCTCCTACCCACTCACATGCACAATCACCCACAGCACTCACATATACAACACACTCATACTCTCTCACACATTCTCAAATGCACCCAAACACATAAACACACAATTCTCTCATACTCGTGCATCACACACCACACACATTCAGGCACTCATAGACACACATACATGCCACATCCCACACACATACACTCACAAACCACACATTCATACACACATAATACATCCAAATACCACATTCACAAATATACCCACGTGCACACTCAAACATTCTCGCACACACTCAGACTCATACCACATACCCAAACACACACTCATAGGCATTCATACATACCACACACAACACTCACACTCACTTATGCTACACATATACACATCACACATACAACACATAAATACACACACATACAGTTGTACTCTTTACACATACTCAATAGACACACATGCACATTCACATACACACAACCACAGACATCACACAAACACATACTTTCCCACACACACTCACGTACACACTTACACACATACACACCACTCATGTTCACATACTTACACACACACACTCAGACCCTATACACACACCTGAGTGGAAATGATGGAGCTGGCATTTAGCGGGGCTGACAAACTCAAACAAGGAAGTGCCCACAGCTTGGAGGTGAGAACAGGGCAGAGCGCCTCAAGTCTCCATCTTTCAATGGGTCTCCCTAATCCGAAATGCTTCACCGGGGATTTGCAACCCTAAACGTTCACGCAAGGGATTTCTATTGACAGCCTTGAGTCGGGGCAAAGGCTTCCTGCTCAGGATTCCAAGAGCAAACACAAGGGCTGGGCCCCATCCTTCCGCAAGGCAGCCCGTCCTCTTGGTCAAGGCAGTTTTTGTCTGTCTTCCTCCTGGCCCTTGGGAAGGCAGCTCAAGCACCTCCTTTAAGGCCTTCCAGGGTTTCTCACATTGTTTCTTTTTTGTTTTAAGATGTGTGGAGTTATAGGTGTCCTGTTACCACCACTGGGAGGGGGAGAAAGGGCTCATTGAACATTGACAGTCTCTTAAGACCCTGGGGTCTGGGCCAGGGGCCTTTCAGTGGGCATTCAGCCTGCCTGTGTTCAGGAGGCCGCTGCAGCCCTGCCTGCCAGTAGCTCCCACTCCAGAGCACTTCTTCCCACACTCTCGCTTCACCCACGGGCACACGGGCACAGGAGGTGCTGAGCTTCGTGGTATAGTTGAGGACACTGAGGCTGGAAGAGAGAAGGCATCTTGTCTAGAGTCATTGGCTGAGCCAGGCAAAGGACTTGGCTCTGACCTCTCAGCCGTGGGTCAGAGGTCGAGAGACCACGGGCTGGCCCTTCCTGCTTCGGCACAGCTGGCATTTGGAGTTGGACAGCCAGGGCTCTCCTGATGTCTCCACTTCCCAGCTCACTGTCCAACCCCAGGGCCTCCCAAGATTGGTGGATCATGCCAGAGCTCTAGGGTCCCATAAGAGGTGATTGGTTGTAGGGGAAGAAGGGGGCTGGGGCCACACCGTGGTGCTCATGGGCTTCTACTGCAGTGCTCAGGGGACCATATGTGGTGCCAGGGATTGACCCACAGTCATCAGCCACATGCAAGGCCTTATCTCCTATAATATTTCTCCAGCCCTAAAATTCTCTTTTCTTTTTATTTTGCTTTTGGTTTCATTCATATTCTGGGCTGATTAGAAGGGACTCCCATCTCTCTGCTCTAGTGAGGGACCATGCAGTGCTGGGGAAACACAATTCACTGGAAAGTAAATGTGTGGTCTCATGAGGCTGTGCAGTAAGACCTCAGCCAGTTGCCCATTCATCACCTCACATCCCAAAAGGCAAATTTCATCTTCAGTATTTCACTGTGAAGGAAAAAAATGTAGCTCAATGGGCTGAGAAACATGCCTGGGATCACAAAGGAGTTGAAACTGGGAAACTGGCCACAAAGACCTCTTCCTCCATAACACTTGTGCAGCCTCCACCTCCCACCTGTTGCCTGATAACCGACCGCATGAACTACTATCAGCATCTTGTCCTACCTGCCTGAGTTGTACCACAAAGGTGGTAGTAAGCTGACCCCACCCACCAGACTTGAACCATAGTGACCAAAAGTAGGACCCCTCTTGGACCCCTTTTGGAGGACCATAAGACACAGTTGTGGAAATGTCTAACAAAGGTCCCCAAACGTACTTGGCCAATCATCCCCTTTTCAGAAAATAGAATCATGCAGTGCCTCCTGAAAATCTATCTCCTCCTCATGAGTCAACTGATCCTCAGTGGATCCCAGGCTATTATCTACCCCTGGATTGTTCCAGCACTCCTAGCCCACCTTCCCACTCCATGGTGAAACTGCCTATTTGGGAGAAAAACAGGTGTGTGCTGGAATGCACAATGTAGCTGATGTCTGAGCCCAATCCCGGGGCAGTTCTGGTGGGCTCACAGCCAATGGGACTGATGAAAATGACACCATGTCACCAGAAATAGTGGCACCTGACCCCATCACCATTCATGGTGTGTCCGGGAGAGTTGCCCCCCCCCTGAACCTCAGTCTCCTGACATGTGAAGGACAAGGCCAAGCATTCCCGATATAGATGAAGTTCAACCAGGAGAGCCCCTAGTGTCCAGTAGTTGCTCACTAAACGTGTATTTCCTCCACCCACACTTTGCTGATGGAGTGTTACAGAGGGTGGACTGCTCTAATAGGTCCTAGATGTCACCTCCTTGCCCCTGAGTCCCTTCATCTGAAATGAGCTGCAAAGGGCCTATGATGGAGACAAAGACCTGTCACTTCCTTTGCAGGAGGGAGGAAAAGGGTGGAGGACAGAAGCCACAGGATCCTCAGGCCTGGGATCTTGGAAAAACTTTCTAAGACAGAAAAAGGAAATGTCTCTGGATCCCAAGAGAGCCCACTCACAGTGATGGGAAATCAAAACATCGAATGGTATACAGAAGGCGTATTCACCACTCAGCTCTGTGCTCTAGAGAGGGAAGCAGAGTGGGAAGGCCTGTCTCCCAGCCCCCTGTGCAGCTCTGACACCTCACAGATCCTCAGATACCCCCTGGTCAAATGGGACACACCTTTACCCCGTCCCATGTCTGAGCTAGGAAATGAGATGCAGGATATGCCAAGCAAGGGAAGTCTGGCAGCCAGTATGGGAGGGACCACCTGACCCCCTCTGTCCTCAGTTTCCTTTCAGCAAGGAAGGTGTAATAATAACTACCTCTCCCTCCCAGGGTTCTAATGAGGATGGATTGCCCCCAACATTGATTGCCATGCAGTGGGGTTCAGCTGACAGGGACCTCTGCCCTCGCATTGATGGACACCCCAAATCAGGAAACCAGAGGCCAATTGAGTCTCCTTCACCCTGGGGGACCTTCTCTGCAGCAGGAAGTGAACAGGCTCACTGGGACCCCAAGTCGCACCTGGGATCCGGATGACTGCCTTCTGGGTGTTCCAAATTTGATCTTCCAGGCCAACTTGGGGCGTGGGTCCTCAGCTTCAGCCCTGCTCACAAAACCATGAAGTCTTGAGTAACATTCCCATCTCGAGTTTTTCTGTTTAACTTGCTGATCAAATGGCTTAAGTGTCCCATCTACTAATATGACTGGCAATTATTTACTTTGGAGACACCCCTGGGTTGCAGAATTCTGAGTTATCTAGAAGCCCATCGTCTGATGGCATATGTCCCAGTTCTCACACTATAAAAGAGGCTGCCGCTCGCAGAAGCCAGCAGGAGCAGAGGGTGAAAACTTGGAGAGCATCTGGGACCTGTGAGAAGCCAGGTGAGATCTGCCAGGCCTGCTCCTCCTCTGCTGCCCTGGGTACCCAGAGTGGGAGCAGCAAGGGATATGGTGGTAATGGGGTTATGTGGCTGAAGTTCCTTGCTAGGGTTCTCTCTTGAGCGAGCTCTTTCTACCCTCAATCAAGATCTCTACTCTAAGAGCTGAAACTCAAGGCTGCCATTATGATAGGGACCATCTAGCAGCCTCCTAAAACCCACCCAATTTTATGCATTTGGGTATATTTGGGGTGACTTGGGTCCATAGTTTGCATTGGATTCAGGAAAATTCTGTTTTCCCAAAGAGATTCAGATGACCCAAAGTTTACTTTCCCAGGGAGGCCAACTTTAGTTCTTTGGACAAAAAAAATTTGTATCAGTTCCGGCCAGTTATAGCTCAGGGGACACTTGGGCTGAATCAGCCACTGAATGGAGTTTTGACCAGAGTGACCAGGTCTTTGTCTACACCATAAGCCCTTGGAGCTCATTTCAGATGAAGAGATTAGGGGTAAGGAGGTGATGTGTAGGACCTGGTAGAGCAGCCCAGTCAAATAACACTCCATAAGCAAAGTGGAGGAGGTGGAGGAAATATGCAAAAGTCCACCAGATGCCTGGGGTTTCTCCGGAATTTGTCCAGGTAAGTTTGAGAGAAGAGGGAAGACCACAGAAGAGCAAGTGTATGTGCCAGTGGGGAGGACTCTGAAGTTCGCCTCCACCACAGCCAGGCCACCAGTTTGCCATATGATCTTGAGGAAGTCATCCCTGATCTGGTCCCCTTTATACAAATCTGATGACTCCACGATTTCTCCCACAAGGCCTGTATTCAGAGATACAGATTTAGACAGATAGGTTTAAGGCACGTGGCCAACATGCAGCTGGCCCCAGTTCAAGCCCCGGCACTGCAGGGTCCCCTGAGCATCAGTCAATGCAGAGCTGGAGGTCCCTGAGCAAAGCCAAAGTAGTCCCAGTAATCAGTGGCACTGCAGGACCCAAGCTGCACCACACCCTCAGCTTCTCACACCGAACCACTGGCCCAGTGGCTGAGAAGCACCAGGAGGGAACCCTAGGGGCCTCATAAGCACAAGTTTGGGAGGTCTCTCCACCCCCTATTCCCCCCAAAAATGCCTGCATGGGATGATGAATGGTGGCTACAAGTGTAAGATCTCTGCCACTCAGCGACTTGTCAGGACTTTCAGAAACAATCAAGGGCTGAAATTAGTGAGGGTGAAGGTAACATGGCTCATGGTTCAGGTCCTCAGCCCTTAGCAAGTAGAATTGAAACCATGGTAAGCAACTCCCACTGGATAACAAAGCTGAAGGCCAGTTAATTTACACAGGGGCCTCTGGGTCAGATGGATCTGGCTTCCGTCTGTCTCACTGTTCTCTTGCTGCCTTGAGGGATGGGACCTGAACTCACCATACCCCATTTCCTCCCTGAGTAATATGGAGGCTAAGTGCCCACAGCTTACACGGTGGTGAAGATTAACCCAGCCCCCAAGTGTGATGCCCTCAGCCTGGTATCTGGCTCCTAGCAAATTCTGGGCAGTGGGGGCTCTTATTCTTCACTCCCTGGTACCCTGGAGACAGAGGCTGTGGGGACATGAACTTCTCTCTGGGTTCCATGACACACTGAATCATCATTCTTTCATAGACACCAAGATGTTCCCAACTGGGGGTTTCATTTTCGTCTGTGGGCTGCTAGCCCAAGCCACTGCCCTTCCAGGAGCCGTGCCATTGCCCTTGGAGCAAAATCTGCCTCTGCCTGTGTCTCCAGCCCTGCCCCTCAATCCCACAAGTCCTGCTGCAGGTTTGACAAATGGTAAGTGAGAGTCTCTGACAGATGATTTTGGGTGTCTGTGTGTATGCATGTGTGTGTGCTTGTGTGTGTGTGTGTGTGTGCATGCATGCACGTGTGTGTTAATATTCATCCAATGAAGGAAGAAGGCCATGATGAATGGGGTAGAGGAACTGAGACTCTGCATGTGTCAGATCTGAACTCTGAGATCTCTGTATTCACTTCCAGCTCTCACCAATGGCCTGATCGCTAATGATCTGTTGGGAATTCTTGAGAAACTTCCCCTGTTGGACATCCTGAAGTCCGGGGGAGACAAGTCTGGTGGCCTGCTTGGGGGACTTCTTGGGAAAGTGACTTCAGTGCTTCCTATCTTTAATGACATCATTGAGTGAGTAACCATGAATCAGGGTCTTGGTTCTGGTTGGGGACCTTTCCTTGGAATTATGACAGCCTACGGTGGGAGAGGCGGGCAGGCCTATAATTCACTTCTGAGATCCCGACAGGGATCACAGCCACTGTCCATAGTCCTGAAGCACAGCCCAGCGTTATCAGCAGCACTCCTCATGGCAACCCTCCCAGGCCAAGTCAATAACAGCTTCCAGAAGGAGATGCAGAGAGAGACAAGTACTTGAGCTCACATCACTGTCTTGATGCTGAGTCTAGGCCAGTGTAGTTAAGTCAAAATCAAATAATTTCTCACTAAATCATGGTAACTTTTATCCACTCTCCTATGGAATTTTTTAGGACATAGGTCACCTTTGATATATAAAAGTGCATATAAGTTATTCTATTCAATTATAATGTCAATGTGATAAGAAAATGCCTTGTCCAGGGAATTATCTAAAATGAGCTTTCCCACAAGACACCTAAGAACTCTCTAAGCAAGAAGCAGCAATAGAAAGCTTGAAGTTAGCAAGAAGTTAGCAAAGGCTGGGTCCTAATACGACTGGATCAAAGTTGTTTCTAAAATCCCAAACCATTCAGGTGCTTGCCTTAACTTACAATAAGTAAATTGCCTTGAGTTTGATTTCAAATGTACAATTTATTCGCTAAGTAGCCTGGGACAAGGTACAGATCTCTCTGGAGTTGTTTTCTTCATCAGTGAAAATGAAGATTTTGTATCTACAGACAAAAAATGATGGATGGGCCAGAGAAGAGGCTCACCTGGCTCAGTGGCTGGCTCATTGAAGAGTCTTGCTTTCACTCCTCTCTTTCCTCCCTGACTCTCCTCTGTCATCATGCTAAACACTGTGAACTTTGACCTACCATTGAAGTTCATAACCGGATAAATGATACCTGCCCATTAGTGTTTGGGTCAAATGCGTTGTCTATATACCATCCATTTATCCAAATTACTACTTGTCTATCCTTTATATCTAATTCATTCCTCCATACATTTTCTCACATATTCGTCTACCCACCTTCTCACCAATACAGAGTCAGTCAATAGGACATAGTTCCTTCCTTTGTAAGACTGAGCTGGCACATAAATGCAAATGTAATCCCAACAATCTCTCTCCTGGAATACCTCATTGACTTAGGATAGGAAGAGAGATCTGGAATGTCAGGGTCTGACCCAGGATCCTGGTTTTTCCCTGAGATTTCCTCCTCTCTTCCCACAATCCACCTCATGAGTAGAGTGGGGCTGGATAATATTGAGTTTAAGGTGGCTCCTAGATTTAGAGATAGAGGAGCTAATGTCTCCCCGCTTGAATGTTGCTTTCTGGGCAGCTTGAAGATCACTAATCCCCATCTGCTGGAGCTCGGCCTGGTGCAGAGCCCGGATGCCCATCGTCTCTTTGTCAACATTCCTCTGGGCATGATCCTCAACGTGAAAACGTGAGTGACCCAGGGAAGCATGTGATGGCTTGTCAGAGGAGATCCTGTGACCTTAGGTAATCAAAAAGGGGCATTTTGAATCTAACAGATATGAAACTGAAATGGAAGTGCTATGCTGAGTGACCTTGCTTATTTAGAAAATGCATTTGACCTGTTCAACTCTTGATTTCTCCTACTGGGAAATGATATTGGTACAACTTTGGGCAAGATGGAGTGAGGTGATGCTGGCATTTCTGGAAAAGAAAAAAAATTTTCTACCTTGAAATGGGGTGTACCAAGCAAAGACCAGGTATGTGGGTTCCAAGACTAAGTCTCCAAACTGCAAGGTGACAGTAGATCTGGGGAGTCTCACCTGGGCTTCTCGTCTGCTCTTGATTCTGGAGGTCACAACCAAAACCAGCCCCTGGGCGCCATTTTGGTGCACCAACAGTCAGAGCCCAGAAACTCCCAGTTAAATCCCAAAATGGAATATCTCCCTACAGAGATGTCTCTGGAACCCAACCATTTATAATATTAGAATTTCAGAAGCTTATGCAACCACACAACCTCTCATAATATGCAAAATGAGAAATGAAAAATAAATGATTTAGGTTTGAATGGTAGTGGGAAAATTCAAGCAAAATATAATGCCCAAAAGTAGAGAGAGGGTATCTGAGCAATTGTCTACCATAGAGGTAGGGTGAGGAATGGGATGGTGGAGAGGGGGGAATAATGGGGACATTGGTGGTAGAAAGTTTGCACTGGTGGAGGGATGGGTGTTCAATCATTGCATGACTGTATCTCAGACATGAAAGTTTTGCAACTGCATCTCACAGTAGTTGAATTAAAAAATAAAATAAATGGGGTATAAAGGACTGAAACAGACTCTCTCCTCTGCAGGCCTCTGGTTGGAAGTCTGTTGAAGCTAAAAGCAAATCTAAACATCACTGCAGAGATCAAAGCTGTGAAAGACAAGCAACAGAATATCCACCTTGTCGTTGGTGATTGCACTCACTCCCCTGGCAGCCTGGAAATCTCTCTGCTGGAGGGGTGAGGTGAAGGGGTAGATACTTCTGCCTGGTGAAAATGGAACGGGATCAGGAGAATTGGTTGGGAAAATAGATGAGTGACAGGATGGAGAGCAGAAAGATGGAAAATAGCAAGGGGAAAGGAAGGAAGGATGGAAGAATGGAGGGAAGGATGGAAAGAAGGAAGGAAGGAAGGAAGGAAGGAAGGAAGGAAGGAAGGAAGGGAGGGAGGGAGGGAGGGAGGGAGGGAGGGAGGGAGGGAGGGAGGGGGAGGGAGGGAGGGAAGGAGGGAGGGAGGAGAGACAGAAGTGATACTATAAGTAGGTAAATGGATAACTAAAAAGCCCCTTTCTATCTTAGCCTGAGCTAACTTTCTGTTTTAGTAGCCAACAGGAAATAGGCTTTCAAGTCCCATCTAACATAAGGAATGAGGGAGAAGTGGAGTGATTTCTGTGTGAATTTTGACAGTTTTTTTTCTCTGTTCCGGTCTTTGTTTCTCCAGATAACTGAATGAGGAGCTACATTCAGGTTATTAGTAAAATCCACAAAGATAATTGTCAAGAATACGCTTTGTCTCAGAAAGAGCTAATATAGCTATAGGCCCACCTGGCTTAATTCTTGGAACAACTCATTATCCATCACACTAACACTTATTAAACATTGAACTTCACACATATCCTCTTAATATATTTATGACATCTGCATACTAAGCACAGTTCATCCATGTATGGGTTCTACCAAGTCTCATCAAGTAGACCTATTGTCCACTGCAGTTAGATGTCCTTCCCTGCTCACCTACTGTGTGTTCTGCTGTGGATGGGTGCTTGGTGTTGGCCCGTATGTGGGTGTGGATGAACAAGGACCAGTTTCAATACTCAGTGCTGAGGCTGTGGTGGGGCATACTGGTCCCTCTGAAGCTCGTGTCCTAGAGACCCCAGGTCTCTGCACACCATACTGCTTTTCTCTTTCAGATTCGGTCCCCTCCCCACACAAGGCCTTCTCGATGATGTCACTGGGATGGTGAGCAAAGTCCTTCCTGATCTGGTTCAGGGCAAGGTAAGTGGATAAAAGTGGTGGAATTTTTCTGAATCTTGGCTTTTAGAGCTTCTGATGATGAAGGAAATCCCTGAGATGAGCCTTTCTTTATCTTTCCTCTCTCCCTCCCTCCCTCCCTCCCTCCCTCCCTCCCTTCCTTCCTTCCTTCCTTCCTTCCTTCCTTCCTTCCTTCCCGCCTTCCTGCCTTCCTGCCTTCCTGCCTTCCTTTCTTTATTTCTTTTTTTCTTCCTCTGAGCCCCTCCATTTGATAAGAATCTTACACCCCTCACTCTATCTGTCCAGATTTCTATCTTTCCATTCTTAAAAGAACATTGATTGACTCCTGCTCTAGACCAGGCCCTTGTGCTCCTTGTGCTTGTCAAAACTGCAGCTCACAAGGACCAGCCCCTGCCCTGAGACACTCCCAGCTCAGTGCCCTCAATGCCTGCACGCAATTTTTCTTGAAGCCTGTGTGGCTGGGCCTTACAACCAGAAACCCACCTCTGTGAGAGCAACCTTCCTTGCTCAGAAGCCCCTGTCACTCCACTGAGTTACTTCAGCTCTGTGAGTGACTGGGCTCTTCCCACTTCATTTCTCCTCCTGCCTGATAGTGTGGGTGTGAGAGTGTCCCCCTTGGACCCAGAACAATGAGAGAACAGCTTCCTGTAGCTCTGTCCTGCAGAGGCTGCTGCTCACAGGCTCTCCTGACCTCACGGGGCCCTGACTGCTTTCTCCACCCCGGCCCAGGTGTGCCCTCTACTCAATGAGGTTCTCAAAGGCTTGGACTTCACGCTGGCACATTCCATCATTGGTAAGTGCTCACTCCCAAGCCCTCAACCCCTTGCAGGAGCGAAGATTTTCCCTGTCCTGTGCCCCGAGTCCTCCCTGCCTCGACTCCTCCAATTTCTGATTTTCTTGAAAGATAGAGTGTTGCATTAGTGCTGACCCTGGCCACCATGAGGGCAGCTTGTGCTGAAGGAGGCATGGCTCCTCTGGGTCCTCCCTGAGATGACTGGATCTCAGACTTTGAGCTGTTTCTGGACTCCTTCACACTGACCTCACTTTGGTCTGTGGTTTGTTTGTTATTTTATTTTCTAGACTTGCTGATCCATGGGGTTGAATTTGTCATCAAGGTCTGAGCTTTCTGCAGGGGATCTGGCGCTGAGCTGGTGAGTGCTGTGCCCTGCTTCCCACACCCTCCCCCCCCCCCCGGAGAGACTGGAAGGAGGTAGCAGGTGGTCTTGGGACGGTGACATCCAAAGAGACAGAGACAGACAGACACATAGATGGACACAGAGACACACAGAGAAGTTTGCAGGAATGCCGCAAAACTTTCTGGGTGGAGAGACAGAGGCAGCATTACAACACATCTACAAGGAAAAACACACATGACCCTGGGGACATGCACTTGTGCACACACACCCAGACGAATGCGCAGACACATGATCATCTGGACAGACGTGGATACACACATCTCATGTCAGCACACTCACACACATGGGTATACCTATGCAGACACACCACACATAAGTACACACACACCCCACCCTAGGTTGGGCTACTGGTGGCTGAGATCAGATCTGTCTCTAGTCCCGGGCCCCCACCCCCTCCACTCTCTCTGGAGGGCACATTAAGATGGGTCAATACCCACAAGAGGCAGTGAGCTCGGGCCTCTGTTTTAACTGAATCTTCTTTTCCCCACAGAAGAACCATTTCCTGCTGCTCAGCCAATGCCCTGTCCAGCTTCCGAGGGCTCACAGAGGCTGGCTGTGTCCTGAACGATGACACTATCGCTGTCTTGGAACCAGAGCAGACTTGTGCCCAAGGAACCCACTCCCTCTCTTTTCCCATCGAGCATGTAGCATTCCTTGTTTCTCACCAAATAAATTCACTCTTCCTCTGCACGGGAACTTTGTCATTCTTCACCATCACTGGAACTCTGGTGAGTTAGAGAGAGCACTGGCCTGGTGGTCGGAGAATAGGACAGAGTTTGGACTTTACATCATAAATTTTAATGGTTTTTCACAGAAGAGGAAACTGTTTGGACGATGTGGACTTCATAGTGGTTGCTCTAATGTCCTATGTCAGACTGAATGAGGGAGTTGGGAGTCCACGTCCTACTGCAGGTTAAGATGATACATAAGGCGACCACCCAAGTGAACATGGCAGGTGTGAGAGCAGCTTGGGGCGTGTACCTCGAAGGGTGAGGATGAGGGAGAAGGTGATTTGGTTCCAGAAGGAAGATTATACCTGTAACTCTGGCCACTCTGCATTGGAGGTGCCTTAGGAATCCCAAGGGACACGTCTGTCTCCTGAGCACTGGTGTCCTGGCATGGTGGGCTCTTTGTTCTCTCCACAAGAGGGGGATAAAGATGATAAAGAGGAAGTGGGCAGAGGACAACTTGATCAAACAAGGTCATTGCTGGGAAAGGATCTGTGTGTGGTACATGAAAAAAATGTTGATCAAGTCGTTCCCTTTTCACGAAGTCTGATCTTTAAAACCTTAAAGTTGGAGGGGGCAGAGTAATAGCCCAACTTAGGTTCAATCCCAGCACCCCACGAGGTCCCCGGAGCCCCTCCCAGAATGATTCCTGAGCACAGAGCCAAGAATAAACCCTGAACACTGCCTGCTGTGGGCCTCAAACAAACAAACACATAAATAAGTAAGATCATATTTCTGGATCAATCCTCTCCCAGTCCATGCCCATCATGTGGCACCCTGAGAGCCTGTCTAGTTGAGTAGCAGGTCTCCCACATTGTGTGGATGCCACTAAAGACTTGAACACACATATCAAGTATCAGATTATCCAAGAGCCAGACTAGCTCCACCAAAAGCGAAGCTTGCTTTTGTTCTTGTGGATGTGGGCCAGTCTCTGTGGTGTGAAATGATATCTCATTGTTGTTTTGATCTGCATCTCTCTGATGATTAGTGATGTAGAGCATTTTCTCATGTGCCTTTTTGCCATTCGGATTTCTTCTTTGCGAAAGTTTCTGTTCATTTCCTCGCCCCATTTTTTGATGGGGTTGGGTGATTTCTTCTTGTGGAGTTCAACCAGTACCTTGTATATCCTTGATATCAACCCCTTGTTGGATGTGTATTTGGTGAATATCCTTTCCCATTCTGTAGACTGTCTTTGTATTTTGGTCACTGTTTCTTTTGAGGTGCAGAAGCTTTTTAGTTTAAGATAGTCCCATTTGTCTATCTCTTTTTTTACTTGCTTGGCCAGTGGCGTGACGTCTTTGAAGATACCATTAGCTTCAATATCATGGAGAGTTTTGTCAACTTTGTCTTCAATAAGCATTATGTATTCCGGTCTGATGTTGAGGTCATAAATCCATTTTGATCTTACTTTTGTGCATGGCGTTAGGCAGAGATCTGAGCCCACTTTTTTGCATGTAGCCGTCCAGTTTTGCCAGCACAATTTATTAAAGAGGCTTTCCCTTCTCCATTTCACTTTTCTTGCCCCATTATTGAAGATTAGATGATCATATGCTTGGGAGGAGATGTCAGTATATTCAACTCTGTTCCATTGGTCTGCAGCTCCGCCTTTGTTCCAGTACCATGGTGTTTTAATTATTACTGCTTTGTAGTAGAGCTTGAAGTTAGGTAGGTTGATTCCTCCCATTTTCTTTTTCCCAAGAATTGATTTAGCTATTTGTGAGGGCTTATTGTTCCATATAAATTTCAGGAGTGTTTGCTCCATTTCTGGCCCACATCCACAAGAACAAAAGCAACCGGTGCTGGCACAGATGTGGTGAGAAAGGGACCCTCCTTCACTGCTGGTGGGAATGCCGGCTGGTCCAACCCTTTTGAAAAACAGTATGGAATATTCTCAAAAAATTAGAATTTGATATCCCATTTGACCCAGCAATAGCATTCCTGGGAATATATCCCAGAGAGGCAAAAAAGTATAGTCGAAGTGACATCTGCAATTGTTTGTTCATTGCAGCACTCTTTACAATAGCCAGAATCTGGAAAAAACCTGAGTGCCCGAGAACAGATGACTGGTTAAAGAAACTTTGGTACATTTACACAATGGAGTACTATGTAGCTGTTAGAAAAGAAGAAGTTATGAAATTTACATACAAGTGGTACTACATGGAAAGTATCATGGTTAGCAAATGAGTCGGAAAGAGCGGGATAGACACAGAAAGATTGCATTCATCTGGGGAACATAAAGCAACAAAATGGGAGACTAACACCCAGGAATGGCTGAGATTAGTACCAGGAATTTTGCTCCATGACTTGAAGGCCAGTCACATGTGCTAGGGGAAAAGGAAGCTCAGATAGAGAAGAGAGCACCAAATAAAGGGTGTTGTGAGGATCCTCCCAGGGTGGGAGAAGCATGCTGAAAGTAGACTATAGACCAAACATGATTGCCACTCAATGCCTCTCTTGCAAAACACAGTACCCAAAAGAAGAGAGAGAGAACAAGGGGGAATGCCCTGCCACAGAGGCAGGGTGGGACGGGGGGGGGGGGGGGGAATAGGGGGTGGGAGGGATGCTGGGACCCGTGGTGGTGGAGGATGGGCACTGGTAGAGGGATGGGTACTTGATCATTGTATAACTGAAACCCAAGCACAAAAATTTATAAGTCTATAACTGTACCTCATGGTGTTTCACTAATAAAAACAATTTAAAAAAATTTTTAAAAATGTTAAAAAAAAAAAGTGAAGCTTGCATGAACACTCTCAGCCACTAAGGGGCAGGCTCACCCATGGTCCCACTAAGCAGAGGCGGGTCAGTCAAAGAGCCCTTCAGCTCAGCAGCCTTGCCAGTCAAGCAGAGGGAGGAGAATTCCTGCTCCAATTCTTTTTTAAAATTTTTTATTATTTTTTTAATTGAATCACCTTGAGTTACAGTTACAAAGCTTTCATGTTTGAGTTTCAGTCATACAATGATCGAACACCTATCCCTCCACCAGTGCATATTTTCCACCACCAATGTCCCCAGTATCCCTCCTCCACTCCCATCCCACCCCCTGCCTCTATGGCAGACAATTTCCCTCTTACTCTCTTTTACTTATGGATATTATGGTGTGCAATACAGATACTGCGAGGCCATCATGTTTGGTCCTTTATCTACTTTCAGCACACCTTCCCATCCCGAGCAATCCCTCCCATAGTCATTGACTTAGTGATCACTTTTCCATCCCAACTGCCTTCTCCTCAGCTCACCAGATCCCTATCTGATCATGAACTTCAAATGTCAGCGACTTGATTTGAGCTTTTGTTGTTGGGGCAGGAATCTTACCCAGCAGTGCTCAAGGCTGACTCGCTGCTCCAAGCTGAGGGATCACTCCTGGGGGATTCTGGGGGACCATATGGAGTGTCGGAGTGTTGGCCACATGCAAGATAAGTGTTCTATTTTATTTTTATAAAGTTTTCCACAATAATTTATTACATTCAATATTTCAACACCAATCCCATCACAAGTACACCTTTCCACTACCATTATTTCTAATTTTCCCAGCAACCACCCAAGCCTACCCCAACAGCAGGTCATAAATCATTTATTTTGTATAGTTCATTATGAATGATTTGCTAAAAAATTATAAAAAAATTTTTTTCCTTAGAAGGAAGTGTGTGAAGATTGTTTTATCTCACCCTGGAGCCATTAAGCCTTGCACAAGAGATTACTAACATGTGATTACAGATTGAGTCTTGTACACTAATATTTTTTAAATTGAGATAGGTTACCTTTGACTTTACATCCCACCCAACATGGTGTTCTACTCCTCATATATCAGTGGTATCGAATTTGAATGTCAACTGTTATAAACCCCATATTATATCTCCAGCCCCCAAATTTTCATAAACAAGGATCAGAAAGCTTAGTGCAGTGTTTTTAAATGTTAAGCAGGACTATGGACAGAAATTAGATTTTGGCAGAGAAAACTAAGAGTGACAAAAAGGGAGACAAGAAAGCCAACAGGTGAATAGACAGTGAATTTTTGGGTGGATACAATAGCATCACTAATAAAGAGAGGCTACAAGTCCCAAGAGAGTAGTTGCCAGTGATTTGGGGGTTCCAAAAAGAGTGAGGTGAGGGGCAGCAAAGACGGTAGCATGGATAGAGCACTTGCCTTCCTTGATGCCGACAAGCTTTACTTTCCAGCACCCTAAATGGTTCCCTGAA